CTTGTAGTCCAGGAAAGGTCTGGCTTTCCAGGTTTCTCTTCTTGTCGACCTTGGTCGTGGGACCAAACTTTCGTGCGCTTGCACCATCCCATGGCAATCCATGACAAGCCATGAGGAACTCTGGTTGCCATTCATCTGCACATCGTCGGACTGCTCTTGTCGCAAACAGTCCGGTGGGGGAGGGAAGAAAGTTGAGGTCTGAGTCTCAGTCTGACTCCATCAACTTGCCCACATAGATTCCCTTCCACCAGTGGGAACTCCTCGTCGGGTGTTCTTCGGAACTGGAAGTGGTTGTCCATAGGGACATGCTCCAAAAGTCGCCAGCTTCCCTGAGTAGGTGCGGGCAGTCACAGCTACAAATGGTGTATTGCCACCAGGTGTCACATGGAACCTGTTGTACAACCAGGGTGCATGGGCATAGCGCTACACAAACAGCGGGCGTGAAGCGGGAATCTCGATTCCACATCCAACACAGATGCTCTCCTGCAAAGTGTTGCCCAACCTTCTCACCGTCTGAATTGCTCGCTCTGCAGGGTTTGATGCTGATCTGCCTTGAGGCGAAAACTCTTGAGTTGTCTGAAGCTTCAACAGCTTCCTTGCATCAGCAACTGCCTTCATCACTTGTTTCAGTGAAGGTTCTTGATCACCTTTGATGATCACCTTGTCATAGTCCCTGACAAAGCCACAAGTTGCATTGGCGCAAAGTTTCACGCTTGCACCACCTTTTGCCTTGATTGGCGCAGCCAAAATGGCTTTTGACCAATTGTCCACTGCCACCAAGCGCTTGACTTCTGGGCTTTCCTTGCGAATCGTGGCGTTCGTTGTCACGTAGTCCAAAGCCACCTTAGAACACACTTGTTCTCGTCGTTCATGACGCTCATTGTCTTTTGACCTTGTTGCTTGGTTTCACACCACTCTGCAAAGGGAAGGTGTGTAAGCAAACGTCGTTGCTTCTCCTCGGGGAACAACAGCTTGTTGAGGTCGACGCTCCATGGCCCTCTTCTCATTTCGAGCTGCATCAAGCGCTGCTTTTGCTGCTGTCTCTTCGACTGCCACCTGCAACCTTTTGAAGACCACAGCCTTACTCCCACTCAAAGGGATTGCAAGGAACTTGCAAGCATCCTTCATCACTTTCCTTGAGCTCTCCATCGTGAGCTTCAAGCCATTGACCATCACGAAGTCATCTCCAACCTCGTCGTAGACCAACTTGGGCGGCACGATTTCCAGGGAAGGGCTGGAACCAGGAAAGAGCATGGAATCCAGGAAAGGTTGACCCCAAATGCCAGCATGTAACATTAGTACAGTTGGCAGAGCAACATTTTTCAAAAATAATAAAGAAAACAAAAGTATCCTGCATCTAATGGCAATGAAACGTGCCCAAGTTGCGCAAATCAAACTTGATTGATAGCCAGGCTTTGTCAAAATATGACCCTGGCAAGAACGAAGTTGTTTTGGTGAGTAAAACAAAAACTGTTCAGAGACAAGGGGGATATGCAAAGGATGGTGAAGGTCATGCACATTGGTGTGGCTTTCCCGTGCTACAATGCACCAGGAATACAACTCACTGTGACGCAAGTATCGAGGAAAGCCAAATGGAAGTTGGAAATGCAATACTATTCATATATGTACCTGCAACCCCTGAGTCTCCCCATTTCTTTCAAAAGTTTTGGAGGATATATAAAACGTTGCAACCTCCCACTGTCTGTCCCTGTCTGACGCCTTTTTCCATGCCAATGACACCCTGTGATTTTCGTGGGAGACTTTGCTCCAGTCTGCAATAGTCCAACAGCACACTGCAGACAGAGTCCGACTCTCGCCCAGCGCTGAAAGACTGCTTCCTCAGGTCCTGGGATGACATGGGCTGCCAAACAAGTCCCCAGAAATGATCCCAACAACTGACTACCTAATAAATAACCAATGATAATGAACCATTCACGGTCACTCAACTAACTTTATTAAGTGGCCTTGACAAATTTGTGAAAATGTGGTCCAAGTTGCCGTCATCTCCCTGGCGAATCCTAACGAAGAACCCCTCTGAGGTGAAGGAGTGCTGCGTGCACCACATATGTGCATTGTAGAAGACCGGCGCCAAATGGATTGGATCGTCCTTGTACCACTGATTCCACCGGTCCAGATCGATTTGTCCGTCACAACGTCCACGATAGTCCTCCATGCGCTCGCGGATGTTCTCAGAGAGCTTGTCCGTCGCATTATTGCTGGGATCATTGCTGGGATCACCAAATTTTCATTGCTGGGATCATTTGTGAAGAAATATAAATAGTCTATAATGGTTGGACAATTTTAAATATATAATTTTTAATCAAGAGTCAATAGTTTGGTACAATTTGGCAAAGTGGCGCAGACCAAGCGCAGACCAATGGAAATACATTGTGGAATGTTCTTAAACTTAAGATTTAAGCGTGCTACACCTCATCAGTCTAAAACATTGTCAGGAAGTGTAGTGCACTTACTTAGAAATACATTTTGCAACTACACTAGAATTTTGTCCAGCTGTGTGTTTTTCACTATTAGTGTAGTAAAGACCCACTGGGAAAGCATCAGACTGGACTACATTCACAGGAGTTGAGAGTGGTAGCAGGAGCCAAGCATGTGCTGAGATCTCACGCAGTCCGAATTTGGATCACAATCCAGTGGACCATTGGCCCTCTCAAATCTGCGCCTTGCGCCTCACCAAGATTGGCAATGAAAATAATATCTATCCTTGCGCTGGGTCTATGCAGCTCGAAGAGGATCTAATTGCGCACTCTTTCTACAGTCAATCTTCTCAACACCAAGTGAGGGTATCAGCAGATTATCAAGTCTAGCCAAGAAAGAACACTTGTACAAGTACTGATCGTCCAAGCGTCATCGATAATGCAAGAAACTTTAGTTCAAAAAAGGAATTTTTGAGAAAGGAACTTGCTTCTATGTCCCGAAACATGAAGGCAACTGTCACACAGAATGCAACAGGAATAAATGGCAGTGAGCACACTCTGGTCCTTCTATTTCATGGATGGGTTGTTTGCTTTGCGCTGCAATCCTGCAAGCCAAACTACTCATGCAAGCACATGAAAGATCGCAGCTTACATTGGTGAATGGGCACTGTCATCTGACCCAGCGTGAGTGAATGCGCAGGTTGAGCCAACCAGGCCGTCTAAGAAAGAGCAACACACAAGCAAAGCTGAGCAAAATAGAAGGCAATAGTTCTGCTAAATGTACTGGAGGTGTGGCTTCTCCCTTGGTTCACCCATCCCAAGTTGAAATGATTGCTCCGCCTGCTGCTCAGCCTTCTGAAGCCAAGTGTTGCATAAGAAGGTTCAGCAGGTCCAAATCAAAACAACTATGACAAGTTCCCACCAGCAACTGGCAACGTTACGAACCTTTGAATTGAAACTAACAGCCCAGCGTGTGCCTTCAACAGTTCTCATGTGTTTGTTTATTTTTTGCAAAAAAGATCACAGTCCATGTTTTTGCCCTTCTGAACGTGAACAAACTAAAAAGGGCTCAGCTCTGATTGCTTGATGCTCTTGAGGCCCTGTCCTTCAATGCCTGCCCCAAGCCAAGCCCACCTTACACTTGCCAGCAACAGTTCAACATGTTGCAAAGGGAAGTTTCAATAACAATTCATCTCCAGCAGGGACAAATGACATTGTATATATATATATTACTGTGAGTGACAACAGCTTGAACTTCCCTACCCTACAGAAAGCAAGCGCTGCTGCTACAGAATGCCTTTTATGTCCCACGTGCAGAATTTAGAATGCCCAGCATAGTACAATGAACTACTTGTATATATACTACTACATTTTGAATGTCCAGCTAACGGCTATGTCCAGCTAAGGCTAAACTGAATTACTTCGCCTTCTGCTCCCAGTCCGACGCCCACGATGCCCAGCTCGTTGTCCTTGCTGCGCAGCCTCTGTCAAAGACCGGAACGGCTCGATCTGCCAGGCATGCGCTGGAAATATGACCATCTGAAGTCCATAACACCGGATCTGCAGACGCCTGGGTGCTATTGCCATGCCCCGAGGAGTCCTCGCCGTCCTGGTCGCCACTTCGGACCCTGATAGGCATCACCACTATCTTGTCCACGCCGAAGCTGATACGCTTTGTGACTGGCACACCTGAGATCTAAGAAATCAGGATCCTTGCTCCACTACCATCTAACAAAGCTCTGCAGGCGCAGGTCTTTGTGCTTGACTCAACATGCGCTTTCACGTGGAGTGTGTGAGGCTCTTTCTCTCCATGTGAGGGTGTTACAAAATGCAAGACCATATCAAGGAAAACATATAATTTATAGCCCATTTTCAAAATAAAATGCAAAACCCAAAAAAATACATAAACATACATCAAAATTTTTTTGACAGGCATTTTATAGAGCTTTCGTGGGCTCGTGGTGGGTTTGCCGCTTGGCTAGCTGGGGCGACAAAGCGCGTGACTGGGAGACGATTGCCGGTCAAGAGAAGTGTCCCAATTTGAAAAGAAGTGTCCCAATTTGACATTGGGAACTGTTGGACTGTGGGATAGCATTTTGTAGAGACTACATGCTCCTTCAATGAAATGCTCTTGCCAGGTGCGAAGGTTGTCGCACATGTCAACCCAAAAGATTTCTATAAAATGCAAAACCAGATCCAGATGCTCTCACAACATGTTTTCGATAAAATGCAAATCCGGATCTCAAGCTAAGTGCGTGTGACAGCCCCCCACTCCCCTAAAACTGCTTAGCAAGGGTTCAAAAGGCACCTTCATGTAAAATGGATCAACGGTTTTGAATGCCAGATAATTCAGAAGAACAAAGCAGTTGCTAGAAAGCAACCAATAAGCACATTTCAGGGGCCTGAGGCCAAACAGCCGGGTGAATCAGGCGCTGCACACAAAGAAATGTAAGTTTATTTCAAGTTTTCTTGCGCTTGGAAACGTTTCGCTGTAGTTACTATGTAGTTTCCTGCCAGCCGGAGCAATGACCAAGCAATGAAGGCGAATTTCCTCAAATTGCAGTCCTTGCGCTGTTGAAGAAGCTCTTCCACAGTCTTGTTCTGCTCTCCGGTTAAGGTTGTCGAGTTCAAGATGAGTTTTCCAAGCCAAAATCTTGCCTCCGGGACCAAGGCTCACGGGAGCAATGAAGAAGCAAGAGAATATCAACGGGCTTGTTCAAAACACCATACACCCAATGGCCTTCCAAGCCTTTCCCGCTTGGTTGGCCTACATGAAAGGACGGAGCTAAATGACGAATTGCGCAAGATCAAACCACCATTGAAACCAAGTTTGTCAGGAACTGCGCAGCGCTGCACACCTCTCTTTCTTGAACCAAACCACAAGATCCGAACGTCAACACTTGTGACCATTGTGGTCTTCACAAAAGAACGGAGGTTGCACCTTAGTGTGGAACTGTTTGTCTTCCAGCCGCCCGTGTGGTTTGGATTGCAAGAAAACATCTTTTGCCCAAGCCCTAACAATGTCCCAATTGAAAAATCTCAGGCCTGCCGGTTCTCTGATGGTTGTGGTTTGCCAACTGGTTCTCCATAAACTTGCAAAAAAAACATGTGTTGCCCCCCTAAATAATCTGCAGCGCTACCCCTTGTTTGTTTGAGACTGTGTCCCTGGCCTGGTATACTGCTAGTGCTACTTCTCCTCCTACTACTATGTTCAAAAGGAGTGGACCCCATGAATGATACCTCAGACCTTGTTTACCTATATAGGTGCAGTTTGTCAATCCGGACTTTGAATGTCGGGATGCCACCTGAATCATCTCTCGCTCCTTCTGCGCACGCCATTTCCTGTCTTCTGCTATCTCTCTTTCAAGCTCAACCTGATGCTCACACAAAATTGCCAATATCTAAAATTGAAAACACGTCGACCACGTTCTAACGCTGACGAAGGCAGACTTGCTTGGGACATTATTAAAACAGTAGGGCAGGGTCCAAGCAGCCCTCAAGAAATCTACAGGTGTATATATATATATATGCTTTCGAGAGTCCTTCCGTTCCGCATGCTGAAAGTTCAAGCGCTTCAGCCCGTGCTCTGTGACATAAAAGGCAATTGCCCCCACACATGACACTACCCGAAGACACAGATTTAATCCGGTCCTGGGGGGGCCGGTGGTTGGGATGGAGGGAGCCGAGAACTCCACAGCGGACCCTCTCTTGCATATAAACCTGCGGACGCAGAACCCATGCTTTCGAGAGTCCTTCCGCTCCGCACGCTGAATTTTCAAGCACTTCAGCCCGTGCCCTTTGACATAAAAGGCAATTCCCCCACACATGACACTACCCGGAGACACAGATTTAATCCAGTCCCCTTCCGTCCCCTTCCACGCGCCCCATACTAGGCATTGGCAAAGAAAGCTTTGACACCAGCCCGAACGGGTGCTTTTGAGGAAGAGGGGAGTGTCAGTTGGATCAGGGATTGCGAACCACAATCTAGATAAATACGGGCAGTGCTTAAATGTAGCCAGCGACCCTTGGTCACCAGAACATCCAGCGTTTCTCCATTCCTGTATGCCGTGGTAGCGCCACCACGTCTCAAGGAGTATGGAACAAAGTTCACGCCTTCCAACCGAAGTTCACGTACAACAGAATGCCACAACTGCATGAACTCATATCTCGATCCATCCCAAGAAGCAGCTCCTCTCTTGCGCAACTTGAGCAAGGACTTAAGAGAACGCAAGGCAGTGAGTTCAGTAATTTCAAGCCGTTCCAATGGGAGAAACTTCCTCTTAGCTCCTTTTGACGTCGGGATAAAGTGTGAACAGCACGATCACGACCAAGAGAAACATCTTCAGGTTTCAAAGACAGAATCTCCCCAGTCCTAAGATAGGCTGCAAACCCAATGAAGATGCGCAAAGGCCTTTTGCTTCCACTTGAGCGCAGTGCCAGCAAAGGCTTGAAAAAGGGGTCGCCCTGACTGGGATCTCCACTTGATTCCATGCTTTAACCAGAGCCGTGTTCTGGCTTGTGGACGGTAGAATTGGATTGCAGCTAACGTGTAGTTTGCCAGGGTTTTGGGTTCCCCAGTCTCCCAAAGGGCTTCCACATATTCACTGACCATCTCATCAAACTGCTCAAATCTATGACGAAGGCCGGCAGCAAAGAGTGAAACTTTCAAAATTCTTCGAAGGCCTCATGATATACCTGTTTTCAGAACCACATGAAACAACTTGGTTGCGCAGCTTTCCCACCTTTTTTCTTGCCTCTCGCCTCTGCTCCTTTGTACTGGCGTTCTTCACCATTGGTTTCTTTCACCTACCGCTCACGACGGCGGCTTGGTTCGTCCGCTGGGTTGGCTTCGCTTTCCACCCAGCCCAGGATTGGGATCACCCACCTGCCACTTGAAGAGCGCCAAATTTTCGAAGGAGCCTGTTCAGGATGCGAGAGGAACTTCTGCCCTTTACAGCTACTGCGAGCACCACCTGACTATCAACTATATGGAGGGCACGGCAAGAGCCGAAGCGCGAGCTGCGTAAGCGCCAGGCTAAGGTGGAAACCATTGATCTCATCTCAAGGATGTTGATGTGCTCCGGCATGACAAAGGCGTACGATTGGCCTACACGCCACTTCCATTTTGCCGGGTCTACGCTTCCCCTTGGAAGCTATCCGGCCGGTATAAGCTGCCAACGTCCAAGCGCACATCGCCTCCCTGAACTCTTGTCGACGAATATAGGCTGACACGACTTTGGTGCTCAGCCTCTTGTCATGCTCTGCCATGGCCTGATCATTCATAAAGAAATCAATTCCATGGACTTATCCAATGCTTCAAGGAGTTCCTCGCCACATACCCTTAGCTTCCGAGAAGCTTTGTTTTCTATCTGCCAGCTAGTTTTTTTGGCTCCCACCCTCCTGGAAGCCAGTTTTGGAAGCCCAGTTTTTTGACTGCCAGCTGGTTTTTTTGTCTGGCAGCTTGTTTTTTTAGCTTCTGAAAACTGTCTGCCAGCTACTTTTTTTAGCTTCTGACCAAAAAACAAGCTTCCAGTATTTTTTTATGTTAGCACCCCAGAAGCCAAAATTTTTGGCTTCTAGAAGCTTGTTTTTTGGCTTCTAGAAGCTTGTTTTTTTGGCTTCTAGAAACTTGGCTTTTAGCTTCTAGAAGCTTGTTTTTTTAGCTTCTGGAAATGGTAGCTCATTAACAAACTAAAAAGAATATACACATATAGAGATATATATATATAGATAGATAGATATTTACTAACCATGTCATCAACCTAGCCCAAGCTCAAGAGCATAGATCTTTTTGGAAATTGCGCGTCTTTTGCCGGTGGAGCAGACCAAAGGCGATGGAAGAATGGCAAAATTGGTTGGCCTCATCTCTGGCTTTGTGCCAGATTGTAGCTTGAAAGATTTTCCCCTTGAGCCAGACATGGCTATTTCAAAGCAAGCAACCTTTTTGTCTGTCTGGTTTGCTGAAAAGCCCACTAAGCCTGAAGCAAGGCTCTCTTTCCAAATTGCTTGCCCTAAAATGTCAAATTTGGACAGAGGTGAGATCACTCAGCACTTGGTGCAATACAAGAGATGGCTGACCAAAAAAGCTAAAAATATGAAAAATGGAGAGAAGACAAGCCCTGCAGTCCTCCAAGTGATGAAAGCCATGGGCTTGGCACCTATCGCCAGTGAACCCCAGCCTCAGCCTGAAAGAAGGCTAAAAAGGAAAACACACTTGCCATCTGATTCTCTTGTGGCCCCTGAGCCAGCAATGGCTGCAATTCAAAAGCAAGACCCCCAGCCTGAAAATAACAAGGCAACAATTCAAAAGCAAGACTCCCAGCCTGGAAAGGCTCCAGCCACCAAATCAAAAATTTTAATGCTTCAAGGCAGCAGCACAAAGTCCAAGGTGGAGAGCGAAAGCGCAGGCAGTGAAGAAAAGGAACCTTTTGTGGTCAGCACACAGGAAGTTTCTTCCACTTCATCTGGTATAGTGACCCCTCAGAAGCTGAAACCCAAAAATGGGAAGAATGGCAGCTACAAAAGGCCTGCCAGCTGCATGACCCCCCCAAAAAAGCCAGCAATGGCTCCCAAGACTGCAAAAGTTACCAAGCCTGCAAAGCACGTGCACATGGCAACCCACAACACATGGGTAGCAAGCTGCAGCTTTGGCTGGGTCAAAAAGGGCAACTTCAAGGAGAAGGGCTACATCCAAGCCAGGGATGGCTCTGAATCCAAACCGTATTGTTTGGTGAGTTGGGGAAGCCAAGGTGAAACCCCAGACTGGGATCCCCAGTGGGGTGACGCCTTTGGCCCTGGCCCACCCAACTCTGCCAGTGATGGCACTAGCAGAAGCTCCATTGCCAGAGATGGCACCATCACAGTGCAGCCAACCCGCTGTGTGAGAACCTCATGCCAGGAATGGCAAGACTGGTCTTCACCCAGCCAGCAGTGGCAAGACTGGGAGGACTGGCAAGACACCTGCCAGCAATGGCAAGATTGGAAGAGTTCTGAAGCTGCCCCTCCAAATCCAGACAGGTGGGTGTTTCATGGCAGGGCTTCTGCCAAAAGAAGAGCTCAAAGAAGAGAGTTGGAAAGGAAAGGTGAAGAAGTCCCTGAGGAGTTAAAGCCCAGGGTCCACAGTCTGAATAAGGCTCTCAAGAGGCAAATGTATGAATTGCATCGCAAAGCCAGGGAAATGGCTCAAGAAAAAGATCCAGCAAAGTCGGATGAATGGGAAAAGCAACAAGCAGACTGGCTAGCCATTGTTGCTAGGGAAGATGCAGAGAGGAGGGCAAGAGGCTTTCTGCCAAGGGGAGCACAAGAAAGAGCAAGGCTTCCAGTGCCAGTGATGGCAATGGCAGGGAGAGGTCGAAGAGTGTGGGGACAAGGTTAGGCAAAGATGGGAAACCAAGATGTGAGCACATGCCAGCAGATGGCACCCTCATTCAAGGTGGGGATGAGGAGGGGGAGGAGTGCCTGAACAAGGCAAAACGAAAAAGAACAGGAGGAGAAGCAAAACAGCCAGAGGGAAGAAGCAGCCAAAGGAAGAAAAGCCAGACAATGGCTCTCAGGAAAAGGATCCTAGTGGTGGAAAAGATGGTGGTACTGGAGGTGCAAGGGCAGCAGAACCAGTTGCTGCTCCTTAAATGCCAGCAATGGCAACTTGCCAGCAATGGCAACTTGCCAGCAATGGCACCCTGCCTGAAAAGGCATTCTACCAGCACTGCAGCTGAGAGTTTTTGGAAAAAAAAGGTGCGCCTGCCTGCTTTCAGTGGTACTTCGAAAGGGTTGAAAAAAGGAACTTTCGGAACTTTTGGACTATGGAACTTTTGGAACTTTCTATTCCTAGATATTGTTTTCTTATATAAATCTAAAAGTTCCAAAAGTTCCAAAAGTTCCGAAAGTTCCAAAAAGTCCCTGGTCACATTTTTCAACCCCACCCAAAAAAATCTGCAGCCATTTTTCTGACCTCAAGCTTTAAACAACTGGCCAGTGTCTGTAGCAAGATGGCAAAAAGAAAAGCTCCCGATGTGAAGGTGGAGCCACCAACCCCCAAGAAGAAAGCAATGGCTAAAGCAAAAGCAAAAGCAAAAGCCAGTGATGGCTTTGCCATTCCAGAGGCAACTCCTTCTGTAGCCTCTGAGGCAGCAGCTATGGAAGCCCCAAGTACTGAATCCAAGCCTGCAAAGGCTTGGAACCCAACAAGCCAAAAGAGAGTTTTACTACAACACTTTCCTTCTGGATGAATCTGCAGCCAGTCGCAGTGTAAAGCCTGGAAAGGCTCAAAAAGACTGACAAAGTCATCGATGGTTGGATGACCAAGTACCAGATAGCCAAGTTGCAGGGTGCTGACCCACAAGACCCAGACTTCAACAAGCTGGCAGAAGCTGCA